TTAGGAACACCTAATCTAAAGTTCTTGATCGATTGAAGAGTGACGATTAAGGGGGAGGAAAATACCGTTTCTTAAAGGGGACCCCATCATAGGAGACACATCTCCAAGGGACGACAATTAGCACTTTTACAGAAGAGACCATGGATGATATGATGCAGTCTTATGCCTTTCAAACACTCTGGGCTCAGGCCTCCAACCAATATAGTTGTATCCAGACATGCCGATCAGACATCATTAATGAGAATATAAAGGGATAAATTAAAGTTCGGACCGCAATTTTTTCACTTTCCCTGGTGGCAGTTTTCCTTATGTATGGTACGAAAATCCTTACTTTTCCTCAGGACAAATCAAGTAGATGAATTCGGTAGAAAAGATCTGAGGTTGCAGATCAGGGCTCACGGGAGACATCTACCGTCGAAGCTATGCACCTGACTGAAGGCGACAGAGAGCACTGAAGATGCCTAAAGACATCCCTAAGATGTCCCTAAGACATCTTCCTCAAGATATCGAAAAGCGTTCGACTGAAGATATCTTCAAGATATCCCCTCCAGGATATCCAGAAGCATTCGACTAAGGATGTCTTAAAGATATCCCGAAAGGGATATCTCTAAGATATCGACTGAAGATGTCTAAAAGACGTCCCGAAGACATCCCTTGCGAGATGTCCGAAACCGTCCGAAAGGAGATGTCTTCAGGATATCCTATAAAGACATGGGGACAAGTCGTCCAGTTAGGGACATCCCTGGGATATCCCTGTGCTGTGTGGGTTGGAGGACGATTCATCCGCCATCTATATTCTGGCTAAGAAGCCTCGTTCGTTGAAGTTGTTCGTGTCAGATGACAGGCCTGCAGCTCGTTTTCCTGGACCTCCTGACCTAGTGGGAAGAGACGAGGACTTTTTCATCTTACTGGTCTTTGTCGAATGGCACTCATGTCATTGGACTCAACGGGACACTTTTTTTAGTATTATCTTCTGTTGCGAAATTAAGTTTTTCGCAAAAATGCGAAAAACGCTACTTCGGAGAAGGTCTTGTCGGATGCTAAGGGATTCATGTAGAAAATTCCACAGCTCATTATTCAGCGGTTTGACTGCTATTAATAGAACGCAAAAAGACACAGGCAGGCAAACATATAGGCTGGCAGGTTAACAAACAGATAGGATATGCATCAGACATATTGATATTTTCTGCGGTAGCCGATGATTTTTTCGCATGAGTTATATGCAGAGCCTTAGTTCGGTTAGCCTTCGCCTTACCTCATCCCGGTTTAAGTTACAGTTAAAGCAGGTCGCCATTTATTGAAGGAGCCTTTATTTTCTAAGATCCAGCAAGAAGCTTGAGAAAGGTGTTCCCAATCCCTCTTTACCCTTTCCCTGGCGTCGACGTAATTTTACATTTCCAAAACGTTTGCATATCTTTGCCAAGGGTGAGAAAGCTTGTGGTCACGCTGTTCCCATGGCGAAAAAAAGAACGGGAGCGTCGTTACCGCTCATTCCCACTTACTTTCTTCAATGCATACGTCTTAATCCTTTCAGACCTGGCGTCCATTCCAATGGACATTGCATTAACATTAACATTGCCATAGACACAATGCATTGTGTCTATGGCAAATTTTTAGAATTCTCGTGGATTTGCGCTCCATATTACGCTAAAATGGGCGCAATTATGCATGGCTCAGTTCCGTCAGAGGCCTTCCTTCACCCATTAGTTTTGTACCCTTCAGTTATTTAATTAAATGTATAATATATGAAATATGGTATGATATGGTAAATTTATACAAAATATGAAAACTTGCAAAAAGCATTAACATTTCAATTACAATCACGAAAGAGCTCAAAAATGCGAAAAAGAATATTATTCCGATAGCGGCCTTACTTCAGGTCTGAAAGGGTTAAAGCACAGACAGAATTACTTACCTAACTGCTTGACGAGATGATGCCCTGATGAATGCGTGTGATTGGTCGGTCGTTCGATGACGTCATGACGTGCTAGAAGCAACATGGCGACTCGCATTACACACGTGTTCTCTGAGCCTTGGTCGCACTCAAATGTTGTGCGAGGAATTTGGCGGCGAATTAGGCCCCAGTTTCGACATGAGGTCTCGTTGCGTCCCGTTTTTGCCCCTGAGAGCAGACATGTCTTCGTGCAGACTCGTGGAATATCGTCGTTGGGGACCCCAAGACCGGGCAAGTTTGGAAGAGTCCGAGTTTCGTCTGTGTGGACGAAGGGAAACCCCAGCCAGATTCTTCTTGCACGGGTTCAAGATCCTCTCACAATTATGGGTTAGTAATTGAACGCCAAAGTCAGTGCCTCAGTTCCATTCGGTCGACATGGGGTCTCAGCCGAAAATAGGCTTTTTGCTGTTATTGGCGCGAGATTAATTTGACACAAATTTCTATTTCCTCAATAAAGGGCAAATCTGTACATCAAAGAAGAGTACTCAAGATGCGGACCGAGTGACGCATCCAAAGCCAACCATCTCTCACGTCACCTATGAAGATGTTAAAGGTCTTGTGGAGAAACATGAGGGAGTAATCATTGACGTTCGAGACAGGGATGAAGTCCAGCAAGAAGGGAAGATCCCATCTTCTTATCTCCTCCCATGTATGTCTTATTTCTTTATATCTATTTTAGTAAGGAAGAAGATGCTCCAATTTCTTTAGTGTGTCCAATTGAGTTTCAGTAGTATGAAGAACTGCAAATTTAAATATTGATGCATGCTGCAGCATCTTCTACGTGTATAGACAAAGCTGGGCTTCAGATCAGTATTTTTGGATTTGCTCAGATTTTGTTGCTGCAATTTTTCATTCATCATCCACTTCTGGTATACTTGTACAAGGATGAAGCCTTTTGAAATAGATTGGCTCCACTTTATTTCTGTTTTCTTCTTCTGTTGGACACTTGCATTTTATTCTCTTGTCATGCTTGATTTTCCTTATATATCCTTTATTAAATGTCAGCAACCTTTTGTTCCAGTGGCAGAAATCAGCGATTTATTTGAGCTAGATCCAGGAGCCTTCGAGAAAATACATGGCTACCCCAAACCCTCAATGAAGGAGGCAAATCTGATTGTCCATTGTTCAGATGGCAAAAAGGGGGGCCAGGCAGCTCAGAAACTCTCTGCAAATGGATTCCAGCCAAAGTGAGTTCCATCTTTGTTACATAAACAAAGGGCATTATGATTCTTTGCTGAATCCAGATGAAGTCAAACTGGCTTCACATGAGGCCTATGTCATTTCCAGGATTTATGCTGGCTTTGAAAATTGGTGCCACAATGGAGGTCCAGTGGAGCAATTTCTCACACTGGAGCAGATTCGCCAGCAGATCAACAAGGCAAAGGGTCTCATTCTTGATGTCCGCAACTGGGATGAGATTGCACGGGATGGCAAACTTCCCACGACTAGATGCCTCCCATGTCAGACTCTATTTGTTTTCAGTGTGATTCTTTAAAAAAAAAAAAGCAGACACAAGACTTACTTGCATTCTATTTTTGTATGATAGTTTGTTTGAACTTTGTAACTTTGGACAAAGAATCTGAAGATTGGGTCATATCTGGTACTTTCAATTTCTGTTCAATTCAACCTAGTGAAAGAGATGGATGCAGCCTTTAAAATGGACCCAGAAGCCTTTAAAAAGGAGTATGTTTTCCCAAAACCCCTATTGAACCAAGAGGATCTGGTTGTCCACTGTTACAAGGGAATTCAAGCCTCTGCTGCTGCTGCTAAGCTCTTCACCCTTGGATATAAACCTAAGTGAGGGGTTCTTCCTTTAACTATTTGGAAGAAAATTTAATAAGGTAAACCTTTGGTAAATGACCGTCAAATTGTAGACAGAGTACACAGTTCAAGAAATAATACATGTGATATAATCCTTATACTTTATTTAGAGGATTGCTTTATTGTAAATCTTTTCTTATAGGACCTACAGTGGATATGCAGAGTGGAAGGAGAATGAGCAACCTGTGGAGAAATGGTTGAGTTTTGAGGAAGTGAAGGAAGCGATTGAGAAGGAGAAGGGTGTCATCATTGATGTCCGCAATCACAAGGAGATCCAGCGTGATGGGAAGTTCCCAACTACAAAAATAGTCCCTTGTAAGACCATCATTATTCTCCTGTGGTAAAAATTTTTCCAGAAGATACTATCCAACAATTGCAAGATTCAATATAAAAGTGCTGAGTGAAGAGCAAACATTGATGACAAAAATTTCGTTTGACAATTTTACAATAAGTTGGAAGTAGTTTATCAGAGTTTTTAAGTTTTTATTTTCATGCATTCTCATCTTAGTTTTCAATGCTCTGGAATATCTTAATATTATCAACTTATTTTCTTTCTCAAAATGCAAACATGAATATAACTGACTATTTATTATGAAATGCAGCCTAAATTGAGCATTGCCAAATATATATATTGGTTGTCAAAATTAAAAAATGGTTTCATTTCAAGTTATGAACTGTTAAGAGTGGAACTAAGTATGCATCTGTGCAGCTTGATTATTTCACCTTTCAGTGCCAGAGATGAAGGAAGCATTTCAATTGGATCCTGATGACTTTCAAAAGAAGTATGCATTCCCAATGCCACCAAAGAACCAAGAAGGTCTGGTCTTTTACTGTCGAAAGGGCATGAGGGCTACTGAGGCTGCTGGCGACCTCTACCTGCTTGGTTATCGGCCAAGGTGAGCCAGAAAAAAGTGACCTTTTTGGACATCAGAACTCATGTTTACCGAAAGTTCAATTCATAGCCCTTGAAAATTTGATATAGGCCTAACTAAATATGGAATTAGGTATATACATTATAATGGATCATAATATCAAATGAGATATCCATTTATAGAAATTAAACCAAATATTGCTAAGATTTTTTAAATACTGCATATAATTGAATATTTATGCATTAAATGTCAAGATCAAGAGTCAAGATAGTTAGTGACATCAAGAGGCGATTTTGCCCATTTCGATATCACGTGTCGAGGTTGAGCGTTCCTTTATTTTAGGGTAGGCCTAATCCTCTTAAAGCTAAATTTTTTTTTTTTTTTTTACTATCCTAGTTGCTTACTGCCTAGTACCTAACATCAATATTAAATGTATCCATTCCTTATATATGCTTTGCTTCAGTTCCCTATATCATCATGAATTTCACAATTTAATGTAACCCTACATATAGCCAGAATAGCTCATGAGTCTGTGAAGTGTCCTGAATAATTTACAACTTGAAATCTCTGGGGTAGAACAAGGAAATGATATGGTGCCAATTGTTGTCCTCATCTTTCAATTGAAGATAAAGATGTTTGTTTAGCAGCTGTTTAGCATTCATGTTATACCTTCAATCATGCCACAGATGTCATTAGTAATAGAAACATTGACTTTCATTGTATGACATCATCTTTTATGAAAGCTATGAAATGTTGTACAGTTGACTCTCATTATAATGAAGTTGATGAAACCACCAGAATTATTTCGTTATATAGGGTTTTCGTTACATTGTATCAGGAGAGAGCCATATATCTCCTATTAGATAAATTAATCTCGTTATGCCCGTGTATATATGAATATTATCCCATGGGTGTACTTTGGGGACACTATAGCTTTTGAGGGTTTCATGGACAACAGTACTTTAACACCTACGCTGTCACATATCCGCTGATGGGGCACGTGGCATCGTGGTTAAAGTGTTGGAAATTGTGTTGGCAGCTGATGTCTTAACCCTTACCCTGTGAAATGTGGCTTCAGTTGCTTCCTGCAACATTGCCATTTGCTGCATGCCAAATAAATTGCCCCACAAAAGAGCTAAATATCTAAAAGCTTCTACCATGTAAAGAGCATGGACCTCCCAAAGCCGAAATGAAACTCGCACAGGATCAATGAAACATGGGAGCCTGACAAATAGCTGCTGAGCGCGAGCACTGAAGTGCTATGTTCACTTAAATCTTCCATGTTCACCTCCCCAGCCACACACACATTAATCCACATTCACATTCCCCCTATCATGCACATTCTGCACGCACCAAATCCTTGGTTCTCATAGGCCGTGAAGCCTAATACCTAGGTGGAGGGCTGATGGGTAGATAAGGACTGACCCTTCTGCACTTCCGTCAAGAGGGAGAAAAAAAATTATTTCCTTCTGGATGGGAGAAAATTCATTACCTGTATATCCTGCCTAGTTTCCATCTGGAGACACAGAAATTCTTTTGCTATATTGGAAATTTCATTATATCTGATTTTGTTAGATCTGAATTTTTTAGCATGGGTGCATATGGACATTCAGCCAGGCAATGTCAAGGATTTCAGTATAACCAGTTTTTCATCATATCAGTGTTTGTTATACTGTGAGTCGACTGTAATCCTGCTTACAATTTTCTAAGCATATTGAAATTCATGCATTGGTTTCAGGCCCACAATTAAGACTTAGTGCTTTCTTTGCCCAAGTGTAGCCTCAGCATGACCTCAGTGAATTTCTAATTGATGTAGCTGACACCCCTACTGTCCAGCCAGAAATCTCATCTGAATTTTACCAGCTCAATGCAGCTATAACTATTGGCAGAACTATCTGATCTTTGGACTGGACTCATACCATTCAATTGCTTCCTCAGTATTTTTCCATGATCCAGCTATGCTTACCCATGTTGTTATCCTTTTTGTGTTGTTTCTTTCATGGTCGTTGTTGTACACGATCATTCATTTTGAACCCTAATTCAGTGTGTACACTGGATACGTGGAATGGGTTGAGAGGGGAGGTCCTCTGCAGCAGTGGGTGCTATTTGAGAACATCAAAGAGCAAGTTGACTCTGGAACAGGTCTCATCATTGATGTGAGGGACCATGATGCCATCATTAAGGATGGCAAGATCCCCACTGCAAAGATTGTTCCCCGTGAGTCCCTTATACCTGTTCTTTATCAGTGACATGTTTAAATATTTTCCATTCTTCATGTTTTATGAGGCAAATTAGCGTTCCTACAGGGAAATTTCACTGCTGAAAAATTTTATAAAGAGAATCGGATAAAGTTAACTGTACATGTGTTAAATATTGAGGATTTTTACGTGAAAATTCGCCACATAAAAAATTCTATATTTGTTTATATATATTTGGCTGTCAATTCAATTACATTGATTGATTAAAATATTAATTGCGATTTAAACGATTAGTTGAAATTAATCAAATTTGAATCTCCCCCTGAATGCCTCTTTTTCCCCTCATAATTTAACCATGCAGTTCATAGTTTTGCAAAAAAAACTGAAAGCAAATGCTTTATCAAGGGATTGAAATGTAATGATGGCTTATAGAAAGTAGAAAGTTTTTGCACTGCTTGCTCTTCCTCAAAAATGCCAATATTTTTGGAAAAAGGGAACACACAAAAACAAAGCCATCACTTTCAGACTATTAAAAAAAAAGTTTCCTGACCCTTTCGCATCCACAAGCATACTGGTATGTATCTTGTGTCCTTCTGCCTAGCCTACAGCCTTTAAAGTCATTGCCTTGCAGGCCTCACTCGTCAGGGTAAGGTAGCAGAGGTCTATGGCAAAGCAACCGAAAAGTCACTGAATGCAAACAAGGAAAAGAAAATTATAATGAAGAAGCTGCAAGGGAAAGGACAAAAGGAAGAGAAGATTTGGGCAGGGTTATGGGACAGGAGAAGCAGGAAAGAGGATAATGTAAAGACGATGGGATGGGAGGGAGAGGCATGTGTGAACCGGTGAATGTTTGTGGGAGCCCCCAGAAAGTAAAGAGGGGGAAAGCCGAGGGCAGGCGAGAGAAGTGGAAATGAAAGTGTGAAAACCTCTCCTATTTTTGCTCTTCCATCCTGTGTTTCCTGTAAATCATTCATCTTTAAATCTCCACATAATGAAGTGTCACACGATACATCACGTCCAATTGTTTAGATTATGTTTTTGCATCCTTCCATTATGGTTTGGCTAAATGGTGAAGGACCTCAGTGCTCCTCTTTGCTTACATTTCATTATTTATCTGTCTAAGTTGTAACTATTTTCTTTACAACTGGAATGTGTCACTTGTAGGATGAACTTGTGTATAGTAACTGCTATGCTAGCAACTGCATCGCCTTGAGTTACTTCCTGAGGCTCACCTAGGGTGTTGGGCATGACACATGCAGTAACATTCCCAACATCTAGGACATGATTCAAGGAGGAATTAAGGGATCTATTAAAACTTGATTAATTAACCAATTAATAAAAGTAATGGCTCAATTAATCGATTAATTGACTATTATTTAATCGATTAATTGACAACCCTAATAATAATTTTAAGACATCATTTTCTCTAACATCTGAAAGTAATTCATTGTGAAGCTTGGGAAGTTGAAAAATAATTAGCATAGGTCTAAACTGGAATAATCAACCCCTTGTTCTAAATTTGTTCTGATAGAGAAATTAATTTTAAAATAATGTTTAATCTGAATCATTTTCAAACAACTTTGGCAAACAAAAATTTGCTTAAGGGAAAATTAGAGTTATCTGATTTAAAAAGTATAATGAAAATCTATTTGATTTTGCTCATGACAGTGCCGGAGATACAAGAGGCATTCCAATTGGATCCAGAGGCATTCCAAAAGAAATATGTATTCCCACTGCCATCAAAGACAGACTCAGACCTGGTTGTCCACTGCAAGCTTGGTCTCAGGGCTTCCCAAGCAGCTGGCATCTTGTACCTTCTTGGATACAGGCCCAAGTCTGTAGAAGTATTGCCTCTTGCCTGCAATCCTTTTTTTTATTCCAAAAAGTATTTTGATGGAAATGGAAATTGATTTATTGCCAGAATATGATGAAGTCAGTGACCAAAGAAAATGGTTGCACTTGAAACTGAAAGTTTGATTATAGTTGAAAATTCAGACCTGCCTGAAAATTGCATGGATGTGTTTGAAGGGACCAAGTTTCATGATGCCTTCACTATTGAGAAAGAAATATTCAGTATGTTCCTGAACTCCATAATGAATGTGGAATTCCCTTCTTGACAGGATCTACAGTGGAATGCAAGACTGGGTGGAAAAGGGAGGTCCTGTGGAGAGGTGGGTCACATTCGAGGAGATGCAAGAACGGGTCAGCAAACAGACCGGGCGCACCATTGATGTCCGAAACACCAATGAGCTCCAAACTGATGGCAAGATCCCCACAACTGACAATGTCCCGTGTAAGCATTATCCCATAGTGATTTAAGTGAAATATGGGCTATCATTTGAAATACTGGTTTTTATGAGGTTGAATTTGCAAGTATAAGTTGAAATTTTTTGAGGGATATGCAGTCCCCATGTCTGGCTAGAAGCTCTTAGCATTCCAATCCTTTCTCTTGTTTGAGTAAATGGAATATTTGAACTTCAACATGGCTAAAATAAATGTTTATAATGTCAAAAAATTGCTTTTATGTATTGTCTAATTACTCAATTCATTTCTGGCTTGAACTCAAATAAATTTCTTGTTTCATAACATGAATCCAATTGAACTTCTTTAGACCTCTTATCTTCCTGATTTTCTCCAAATGTGCTATAAATCAGTTCACATGCTTTCAATCAGAGTCCCAGAATCAATTTCTTTTGATACTTCCTAGTGCCAGAAATGAAGGAAGCATTTGAAATGGAACCAAGTGCCTTTGAAGAGAAATACGGATTCCCAAAACCCGGCAAGGATGAAGACCTTGTCCTTCATTGCAAACTTGGTCTGAGGGCATCTAAAGGAGCTGGCATCCTTTATCATTTGGGTTACCATACACGGTGAGCAGCAGTTTCCTCATTCATATTTCTCTCCATTTCGGACTATAGAGAATTTCATTAACCATGTTCTGTGATAGTTGTAAGGAAGAAATGTCTGTGAATGCTGGGAAGCAATTGGCCCCTGAAAGGATGAGACTAATGTATGAATCCTGACTACTGTTCATTCACTGAAACACCCATACCCATATCCACTACCAGTATATTGTAGCATTGATATTCCCATACTTATTGCACTAAAAGGAAAATGCCACAGATGCATTTAGTGGCCGTTTTCCTCACCTCCCAAAAAAAAATATGGCAAAATATGTACAGTAAGTTGTGACTGCAGGCAGAGGCCACTTATTGACCTCTGTGCTTGTTTGTTTATTTGCCTTTTTTGTGTGCTACACAAGGTAAATGAAGACAATTTTCGTACAGGGTTTACAGTGGCATTGTGGAATGGAAGGAGAGAGGCGGGCCCATAGAGAAGACAGAAGAATGATGGGGCACTTCAGGACAGGACCCCTTTTGCGTAATTTTTCTTGCCGCCAAAGTGGCTTTCATCCTCCCACAATAAAACCTTTCATGCAGTGATACTGATGCTCTAGATGCTGGCTCACTTTTGGTCGCTTGACTCATTCAAGGGACTGGTGCAATCTTGCTCATTTTATTCAAATGATTCTGTGTTGATTGAGAAAATAAATGTATTTATTCTAGTTTCAACTGTGGCAAATATTTTTTTTTTATGGTTTCTGATTTTTCATTTATTCTCTCAGATTATTCACACCACGAGAGCCTCTTACAGTGGTACCTCGCATAACGAACGCAATTC